GCACTGCCTTCCCCGTTCGCTATCCTTCCCGTCTCAGTTCCCGATTCTGCTGCTGCTGCTGCTGGCGCTGCTGCCGCCGCCGCCGCCGCCGCTGGCTGCTGTTTTGTCTCCCGGGGTCCCGGCATCAGATTGATGATCTCCTCCCAAATGAGGTCCGCCGGAACCTCGAATGCGGACGCGCCCAACACGTGCACCTCGATGTGGCTCCGCAACGCCAACTGCTCCGGGGTGTAGTGGTGTTGTAGTGCCTGGCAGTGGTGGTGGTGATGGTGATGTTGGTGGTGGTGATGGTGGTGGTGATGTTGGTGGTGGTGCTGTTGGTGGTGGTGCTGTTGGTGGTGGTGATGTTGGTGGTGATGTTGGTGGTGGTGATGTTGGTGGTGGTGATGTTGGTGGTGGTGATGTTGGTGGTGGTGATGTTGGTGGTGGTGATGTTGGTGGTGGTGATGTTGATGAGAGCGAGCGTAGGAGCACTGACGAACACGGCATTGATGGCGGTGGACGTGCGAATACACTCGTGGTGGTGGTTTTAGCAGTGCCGAGGGTGTGTGTGTGTTTGCATGCATGTGGACCGCAGACGGATTTTCGCGTACTCCGCACAACTGTCCATTATTGTCCTACGCTTTCGCCCGCATTTCGCCCGTATTCATTTGTCTTCGCAATCCCTAGACGCCGTAGTACATATCTTCGTCGTACTTGCTACCTTCTCACAACACCTCGTGAGCAAGATATGACACACCCTGCCCAGTCGGGAAAGCCGGAATGTCCCCCACAACACCGTGATCACGTCTCCGTACACCGTACATCGTACCTGGATTACCGTCAACGCCTGCGACATTCGCTTGCTCAGCAGACACATCATTGCGCCGTCAAAAGCTGGTAGCGGCCGCCACGCCCGAAACGCCGCCCAGCCTGCCGGCACGGGCTCCCAAACACCGCCGCTCGAATGACCCGTGGGTCGCGGCGGCGGCTTGTCAGGCACGTAGTTGGGCAGCCGGCCCGTGGCGGTTAGGTACCGGTGTGTCAGCAGCTGACTCTCGTTCATGTGCTGGTACGACATACATACCGCGGCGTGAGGCCCCGTCAGGTAGGCAGTACGATGCTCGTCACACACCCAGCCCCAATGGCAGTGGGGGCAGCAGCTAAGGCCGCTGCCGCCGCCGCTGGCGGCAGCGGCAGCGGCGGCCGGCAGTTGCACGGCGGCGGCGCTTCCGTGGTGGTCGCATGCGGTGCCGCTGCTGGCGTCTGGAGCGGCGGCGGCGGCGGCGGCGGCGGGGGCGGGGGCGTGGCCAGCAGCCGCAGCCGCAGGATTGGCTGTTCTGCTCTTGGCGAGCTGAGTGCGGGTGCGCATACAGACGCTGCATTTCGCCTCTCCAAGAATAGCACGGAGTTCGCCGCGACTTAGCGGGCGACGTAGCAAGGGCTCCAGAACTCGCTGACAGTTAGTACCGTAGTGCTACTTATAGTTCGTGATCGCTTTGTTCGGGGAGGGGTCAAAAAACTTTCTGAAATTTGTACGTGCTCTTTGAATTTCGGGGAAGGCCGGACCAGATTTTGCAGGCATGATACAAATTTCGGGGCCCCTTCCAAAGTTTCGGGGCTTTTCAAACTGCAGCTTCCAGTCAGTCTCCCTCCACCGGGAACCCTTAGGCTCATGGTCTCTCACCATTTTCGCACTTTGAAAACGCCCTAGCAAATTCTGGACCGATCGTACAGTTCAGTACCAGTGGCAACGACCTAATAACCAACCGGCCGGGCCAATACAGTGTTTGGGTGGTTGCTACTGAAACGTGTCTTCATGTGGCTGAAACCCCGACGTAAAAGGCATTACGACGCAGCTGGATGCACCATACAGGAACCCTCACCCCTCACCTCACATGATGCCGAAAAAAAGCATTACGGCGCAGCTGGATGCACCAAACAGGAACCACCACCCCTGATTTCCGCCTTGAAATCCTAGTTTTTGCGAAGTTTGATCGACCGGCTTCGGAGGGTACGATATTTCGGGGCTGCGGTCCCTTGGGATAATTTAGAATTTGTACGTGCTACATATTCGTGGTGCCTCCCGAATTATTGTAGCACGAACTATAAGTAGCACTACGGTACGCTGAGCAATGCAGAATCGAATTGGGTCAGGCCGAGTCAGTTGCGCCACGTTGGATATTGGAGCTTTGAATTTGGGTCCAATCATAGCGTTTGTTAAGGGTGCGGGGCGGGGATGTTACATGGTCGGGGTAATGTTACATCGATCGCGTATATTGCAAGCCTTGATGATACGCGCCCTGAAAGAGCTGCTTTAAGGCCATCCCACAGCAACTTGAAAGGCAATTAGCAGAGGACAGCAGAGTGCAGGCGATTAACGGAGAGGAAAAAGCAAAAAACTTAGCAATTTCTGACGCAGCGTACAGAGAAAAAAATGGTGGGATAAAGGGACCAGAGGAATTCACTATGTAGTATCTCTTGAAAGGCATAACTGGAATCGGACGGGATTTTGTTGCTGTGGAAAAGGGTGAACAGGCGTGAATCAAAAACGCAAACTATAAGATTCGGCTCGGGGACTGGAGTTATGATCATAATGGAAGGAAAATAATGTTACATATAGGGCATAACAGGTTGTGATAGTGGTTCGTGCGTTTTGCGGCTTGCCCTTTGCGGCTTGCGGGAGCCGTCGGGGACTTCGACGACTTCTGACAGTCATGTCAAGATACGTAGACGTCCCAGAATGCGTGCAAGGTTGTGCATAAGGTACTCCTGCAGGATTTTTTGGATCTTGCGCAGACGACAGGCATGGTGATCCTCTTAACACCATACGTAACCGACTACCTGCATGTAGAACTCGTGTGCAGTGCGCGGCCAGGATTCCAAAGGCAAGTCCTTCTGCAAACGGACGCAGTGGTGTTATAACAACTTTTACGCGAGGGCCCTTGAAAACTTAAGTTACGGACAAGTTAAACTTCGACGTCGCAAGCTCGACACGCAAGGAACATTGCCAGCAGTTACGGCCAGGAGGTCAACCAAACATACTTGTACACATTGAGGTGATTCCAGGGATTCCGCTTTAGTGTGGGCACTCTTACGTCGCCGAGCGGGGGCTTCGGCAAGAAACGCATACTAGACCCACCTGCAAGGAATGGAATAGCCTCAATGCGCGGCACAATGCTTTGTGCTCCTTGAAGTGCTTTCGCTGGCATTCCTGGTTACAGTACCATGCACTGTCGCAGGCCGCGCAGCGCAGCAGCTTGCCCGGTGCAACATTGCAGCAGGCCGCACAAGATACCCCAGTATTAACCACATGTGGTGGATCCATAGTTATACATGCCATGTTTTTCTTTGTCCACGCCCTGTTTCCACATAGATTGCCTGTCAAGTGAACCTTCAACCTTCCGACAAATGATCAGGATGCATCATAACTTAATAACACTTCCATATGATCGCCGAAAAACGCGACATGTGTAGATCCGTTTAGACCTTCCTCAAGGTTTCGGAGCACCGGGTGAGAACCTGTCAACAACTATCAACTTCAGAAAGGCCAGAGCGTTCACATTTCGCTGTGAAAATTTGTAGGGTATTATGCTATTATCGTCTCCCCTATCGACTCCTTAATGCTGATCCGTCTGGCTTTAAGGTTGAGAGCCCTGGTAGCGCACTTCTCCCTTTAAATTCAAGGAATAATAGAATGGGGAGGCGTAAATAGAAGCCTACAGCTTTTGTGGTTGGCGAGTCGCAGGAGTTCCCTGCAGTGGCAGAGCAGGTTCGTCCCGCGGGACGAAAGGACCTCTCAGCTCAAGCTTCGCAAATGCTAACGCTCACGTTTGACACTCTTGAACCCTAAGTCCCAAGGGGAAATCCAATCGTCCATCCTTGAATACCTCAAAAGACTACACTATAACTCGACGGTTGTCCATACTGGTTGTCCATCCACCTTTTTCACTGTTGAACTTCCACTTGCGCAACGAACCCTCGCCTCGCTCCTCCCCATCGCCACCTGCTCCTCATAATCAGGGGTTCGAAACCGCCTATGTGCAAATTGGCGGCGTGTGCATCACCAATCACGGCCTCAGCCGGTCCCACGGCCCTAGCGGCAAGTCGCCGCATCAGGAACCGTGGCGGTCTCTGCCCCAACGTCAACCGCGGCTGCGGGCCCCCCGGCGCGCTGATGCAGACAGCGACCGTGACGACGACGGTGATGGCGGCGACGGCTGCAGCAGCGACGTGCTGGAAGAGGATTTGCAGGACTACCTGGAAAATGTGCTGGGCGCCACCGATATCGGCAGTAGCAAGCAGAGCGGTGCCGGTAGCAAGTCTCATAGCAGTAGCGCAGGGTGCAGGCGTCCTGCCGCCGTCGCCGCCGCCACCTCCGCCCACGGTCCAGGTTGGCAACCCTGGCACACTCCCCCCCCCTTGTCCCATAATCTCCTACACCATGACTCTTAAGAGGTTCCTACGATTTCAAAAGACAATCATACACAGAAATACAAACAAATACATATGTACATATACATGTATATGTGTATATATAAAATGACAGCTCTTGCTGGGATACGTGCAGGCAGCAGTGACGGCGATGACAGTGACGGCGATGACAACGATGGGGAGGAGGTGGAGGAGGAGGGGGACAAAGTGGTCATGAGGGCTGTGGAAGGACTGGACAACGGAGAAGATGAGCAGAGAGAGGAGGAGGATGAAGATGAGGTTGAAGGAGGAGGAGAAGAAGAAGAGGAGGAGGAGGAGAAGATGAGGAGGTGCGAGGTGACACCGTGATGCATCAGTATACGCTTCACAGGCTGCTGATCCGGCTTTGAGGGTCGAGATCTGGACGAGTCAAGAGGGCGAGGAAGAAGGCGGCGGCCAGGGCAACCTGTATGAAGGTATGCATGGGCTGTACAACATGATCTTGTATGATGTGTTTGAGATATCCTTGTGGGTCTTTGCGAGACCCACAAGGATGGATCTGCACGACATGGCTGTACGAGTTGCTGGATAGCATTTTGAATCCGAGTCATTGCAATACTGTCCTATTCAACTGGAGCTTCCAGACATCAACAACAAAAGCAATGTTTGCACATAATATCGGTGTGAACCGATTGGTTACAGGACGGATTCGCTCCGTCAATGTCTGGGCTCTTATCAAAGTAACCTGGGCCGTGAGGCCTCACTAATGTTGACTCCTCGACACTGTGAACTTGGGCCATCAGGCCTCACTAATCTCAATTCCGCGACACCCCAAATCTGGGCCGTCAGGCCTCGCTAATCTCAATTCTGCGACACCCTGAACCTGGGCCGCGAACCTGGGCCATCAGGCTGCGCTAATGTAGACTCCCTGGCACCCTGTATCTGGATCCTCAGGCTTCGGTAATGTGGACTGCACGACATCCCGAACCTGGGCCGTCAGGCCGCGGCCCAGGCCCAATGTTGACTCCTCGACACTGTGAACCCGGGCCATTAGGCCTCGCAAATGTGGACTCCGTGACACCCCGAGTTTGGGCCATCAGGCCGTGCTGGCATCGACTCCACGACATCCCGAACCTGGGCCGTGAGGCCTCGTTAATGTTGACTCCTCGACACTGTGAACCCGGGCCATCAGGCCTCGCCAAAGGTGGACTCTGTGACACCCCGAGTTTGGGCCATCAGGCTGTGCTAATGTTGACTCAGCAACACCCCATATCTGGATCCTCAGGCAGTCCATGTTACTGCACAACATCCTGAATCTGGGCCATCAGGCCTTTTTAATGTCAATTCCATGAGCCATCAGGTCCACTTGGGTCACATCCACCCTCATAACTGATACCCACCAGGGCAGTTACATCCGTGGCATTCCTGGCTGTCTTAGCTGTCATCTGCAGCATCCCAGCTGTAATTCGGTGGCCTCTGAAATCTGTTAAAGGCCACTCAAGTCGTACCCAGCGGTTTTAGCGGCCCTTCTGAAGTGGACGTAACAGGGCCATCACACGCTCGCAAGGACCAAACCTGCTGGAAATAGCCCTAGATTTCCCCCCCGCCCCAGCCAACCCAGCCGCGACACAAGAGTGGGTGGCTACCGGAGAAGAGGTAGAGAGAAAGAAAGTGACAACGAAGTATTTACCTGCATATGGGCAGGCGGAATCTGGTGTTGTCCGAATAATGGGTGATGATGGCCCAGATGAGCACCAACCAGCCGCCACCGCTACACCTCAGATGGGCCATCAGGCCTCACTAATGTCGACTCCGCGACACCCCATCATGGGCCATCAGGCCTCCGCGACACCCCCAGCATGGGCCCTCCAGGCCCCTTCCCGTCGCATCCATGACACCCCAGCATGGGCCATCCGGGCCCCTTCCAGTCGCATCCGCGACACCCCAGCATGGGCCATCCGGGCCCCTCCCAGTCGCATCCATGACACCCCAGCATGAGCCATCAGGCCTCCACGACAATCCCAGCATGGGCGTTCCAGGCCCCTTCCAGTCGCATCCACGACACCCCAGCATGGGCCATCTGGCCTCACTAACGTCAACTCCGCAACACCCCAAAGCTGGGCCATCAGGCTTCACTCTGGCTGCATCCGTGACACCTCAACCGGGTCCCCCTGTATCAGTCCGGTCATATCTGCAGCACCCAAACCTGGGTCCCCGGCCTCACCAAGAATCGCCTGCACGACCGTCAGCACAAGGCACCCAGCCTGATTCCTGTTTTTTGCGCGGTATCTTCTCCTTCGTCATGTAGCCCTATGGGAATCGTATCCGTGACACTCCAGCTTGAGCCATCCAGTCTTGTTTAGATGTCATCTGCTGCATCCCGGCCGTATTCCGGTCACCTTCAGAAAGACTTCCTGAATTCCTCCCCGAATCAACCCCGCCGCCAGTTAAGGGCGGGTAGCCAAGAGTAAAGGGAGCACGAAAAGGTCAGCTCCACGGGATGGATGGCACGCCTGTGCCGACACCTGGCCCAGATGAGGTGGTTTATGCGCGTGGGCACACATTCGTGCTCGGGAGACTCAATTGTGGACATGGAGAACCTCCCGTTTCCTTTTTGGAATAGCGATGTTTTCTACTTGTGTGTAGCCTAAAGCATGTGCGCTGTAAGCGCGGTGTGGCAAGGAGCTTGTGGGGACCGCTCTTGCATGACAAACGCTAGTTCGGCGAGTTCAAGTTTCTCCCGGTCTCTCACTTACTCTGAGAATAATTTACAGATCTAAACTAAATGCACGTCTTGTAGTTGCGAGCAGCGCGCTGGCAAGGAAGCGGTTTGCGTCGCTCCAGGGCGGCGTCTCGTCTGGGCAGCTGCCCAGACCTGCAGGTGTCGCGGACGGTGTGCGGATGGAAACAATTTCCACTGTCTACGAATGCAGCAGCGAATTTGACGTCGGTAAAGGATGATGTAGACTAGGCTGATCCACAGCAGATTGTAGGCGACGTCGCGTCAAGAAGTTTGCGCGGCAGCAATCCGCGTTTCGGAAGTTATTGAGCCGCGCGTCAGAAAGGACGCCGAGTCGACTATAATATAAGGAGAAGATGATACGGGAAATTAAGGTATGAAGTGAGAGAAAGGGAGAAGCGGTGCGCCTACACACCGACTGTCTCCGAACGATGGCAAGATAGGGTCTGATCCTGGCCAAATAAACGCCTCAAATCTCTATCAAGCACCTTAAATCTCTTTAATAAAGACATACCTTTCACACTTCCTCTCCCACCAAATGCAACCTTCGTCTCACTTTCGACCCGTACAACCTTAGCAACCACCTTCACCGTACCCAGTACTTCTGAACAAGCCAAGGCCTGCCTTAGCAGCGTTACAAGAGAGGTCTGACCGGAATATCGTGTAATTCACAACACAATATATCTCCATATCTTTATTCAAACTCCTTGTATATTTCAGGGTTATTTCATTTCGATTTCATTTGTAGTTGTGCGCCATGAAACAGCACCACGTTACTTTGGCGAAGCATCGTGCTCGGCCTTCGTCGATGCTAACATCCTGTCCCGTCCGCACACCGCCTGTAAGGTTGCCTGTCAGAGCTGCGTCGCCATGGCTGCCACTTTCCTTAACTTTAGCAGCTGCTTCTTCAAGCACAACATTCTCTTCAAGCGCCTATGTCACCAAGGAGGCGCGGCAGACAGCGTTTGGACTTGCCAAGGAGCAGGTGCGCTTTTCTCCTCTGAGCAACGGGATGAGCGAAGAGTGCCTCTAAATTTGAAGGATAACTGAAGGTTGTCTGTTTTTCATCTCCTACACCTTCGCCAATTTCCCCAGCCCTCTTGTCAACCTATGTTTGTTCACGTCTATCTACGTGCATGTCCTCCATGGTCCCTTATTCTGTGTCACCTGTAGGGGAAGAAGGGGAACACTTCTTCCCCTAAAGGGGACGGAGTCCCCCACACACCACAAAACACCACCCGGCCACCTCTGCCAATCCCATGATGCTCAAACCGTCCACACAACTCCATGATTTTTTAAGAGGAACATCATCTCACCCTTCGTCCTATTTCTTAATTTCGCATGCAAATGTGCATTTCTACTACACGTCATTCGTACGACAGGTTGAAGAAGCTAATGCGCCGGTATCAGGCAATCTCCCATCTTGGCTTCGTGGAACCGTCGTCATCAACGGCTGTGGCGACTATCGTGGCATGGAGCATCTATTTGACGGTTTCGCCTTCCTCACCCGCATTCACTTAGACGGTGTGACGGGGCGTGCGACTGCCAGCCAGCGTTTCCTGGACACGGACGCGTACAGGTGAGTGCTTTCAATCGGGTTTATGAACGGAACGCATCGACTGATGTGTTATTGCGATCTGGGTCAACGCACTGTTGTGATTTGGGTCAACGAACAGTTGCGATCTGGGTCACGGAAAGCTGCGATCTGGGTCACGGAAAGTTGCGATCTGGGTCACGGAAAGTTGCGATCTGGGTCACGGCTCACTCCTTATTATCTTCGGGCTCCACACACAGGAGCTTTCGGAAAACGGGTCGCATGAAGTACCGCGAGTTCCAGACGCCGGTACCCGCCGACGGACCCGTGGGTCGCGTCCAGGTCGTGCTCGAGAATATCAAGGCCCTGGTGGGTAGCTTCCCGGGGGGGGGGGGGGGTTAAGCAGTTGCGGGTGTCCACACGATGTCTCCCCTGTACACCTGCGCGCCACGTGCAGGTCGTGCATGGCATGCATGTTTAGCTGTGGCGTGTTTGGCGTGTTTCGTATCTTTCCCCCCTCCTCCCCCCTTTCCCCCCCCCTCCCCCCACTCGCTCGTGTTTCATATGTCCCTCCCTCTCCCCCGCACACCCTTCCCGACGCAGATGAGCAAGGGCCGGGCCTTCACTGACAACGCATCTATCAACCTCATCCCGCTTCCAGGAAATAGATTGCTGGCGCTTGGCGGTGAGTGTACGGCATACCGTAGGTGTACGACGTACTTTGCATCGTAAAAAGTGCTGTTACACTCCGAAACACGGTATGTTTGCACCCCTAGCTTGCTTTCTCCTGCTGTACTACACTAACATGTTCCTGATGTATTTGTTGGGTTTTAGGGTTTTAAAACCCTAAGGGTTTTAGGGTTTCAAAACCCTAAGTGTTTGTTGATCGAATGCGATATTAATGACAAGCCGTTGATGCAGCTCTTGATCAAATCGAGCACACACTTACATACCTACAAACACACACAGACACAGACACGTTTCACGTTTCTCTCACCCGGCGCTGCTTCCCCAATGACTCCGATGCCGGGGTGCAAATATCCGACCCGCCTCAGAGACTCGTAGCGCTGCTTACATCGTGGATCCAGCCACCCTCGCAACTGTACGGCAGGTGGAGTACGACGACGATTTTCCGGGTGACCTGACGACAGCCCACCCCAAGGTGGCACCCGACGGTTCCATCATGAACTTTACTCGCAGTTTACCGTTGGGCGGTTACCACGTGTTTCGGCAGGACCCTGTAACCCTGAGACGCACGAAGATTGCTTTCATACGGTACGGAAAATGCACGGCATGATATTTGGGTGCCGTGATTGTAGTAGATAGTAAATGGTTAACGTCATGGTGCGGGGTTATGCATGTTTGTATGTATGTGCGCCTGTCTCTTGTCTGTCTGTCTGTCTGTCTGTCTGTCTCGTCCTGCACCGCATTCGCCGTCACTCCACTGTTTCCTGCTACGTTTTATACATCTTTAACATCCCCGTAAATTCCTCAAATCCTTTCCCACAAAATTTCCCCCAATTCCCGAAATTCCCAAACATAATCCCCCCCATGCGTCCTATGCATTCCCCGCTCCCTTCCATCTCTATTTTCATTTTTCCGAATCTCCTTTCCAAACCCTCCTTGAAAAACCCTGGAACTACCTAGCTCCCACGTTCCCCTCCGCACCCGCGCCCGCTTACCCCCTACCCCCGTACCCCCCTACCCCCGTACCCCCCTGCCGTACAGCGACCGCAACCCGTGGGCCCCCTGCTGGGTTCACGACATGGCCATCACCTCCTCCTCACTCGTGGTGGTGGAGACCCCGCTATTCATTAGCATGGCTTCACTAATTCTCGGGACGAAGAGGCCGTACGCCTTCATGGACTGGAAGCCGGAGGTGGGATCGGGCAAGCTGCCTGGCGGGTGTGTTTGTATGTTTGTATGTTTGTATGTATGTATGTTTGTATGTATGTATGTATATGTCTTCTGTTATGCATCGATCCGCTGGCCAGGGGCACCTAACCGTATAGTACCCCAATAGGAACATACGTGTGTGTGTATGTATGTACGTACGTGTGTGTATGTTGCCCATATGTATGTGTGCCCCGCCTCCAGCCCTCGCTCGCCTCCTCGTTCCGCCCGTCCTCTCCTGTCCTTTCTTTTCCGCTTCCTTCCTCTTTTATCTCACTCACTTTCCCCCTCACACTTACCACCCCTTTTTCGCGCTCTGTTTTGTTGTTGTTTTTTCGCTGTCCCGATTCCCCCCCTTCCCCCCGTCCACATGCCCCGCCCTGACACGGACCTCAGGCAGGCTGCCGGGTCCACGTCATCGCATTGGATGGCTCCGGAGTGAGTCGGTTGGGTTGGTTTCGGTGGTTTTGGTTGGTGGTTTCGGAGTGCTCGGTGGTTTCCAGGCATGGTGGGGGTTTCGGGACTTGATATTCTTGGTTTCGGAGCGGGGCTGTTCGTGTAAATGTACGGAAAAGCCGTGCACATGTACTACGGTGTTGGGATGCCCCCAATCCTAGACGTCGTTATTATGCCGTACTTTGGCCCTCTTATTTGCACTCGGCTTCTAAATCTGCCCTGAAAAAACGTCTTTTTTTAAGGTTGGGTTTAATGTAGAAGCCATGAAGTAAATTTTATTTAAAAGTCCAATTATTTAAAGTCCAATTATATTGTTGCTTTATGTTTTTATCGAATCCAATTTTTAATTCTCTTTTTGATTCAGATTTTCCTAATTCACTCTAAAATTCGCTCAAAAAAGTGGATTTCTTGGTGGCCTTCAGGTGGTGACCCACACGGCCCCCGCGTTCTTCACTTTCCACCTCGGCAACGCCTTCGAGCGCCCGTCTGGAACCAGCTCCGGAACCGAAATTTGCCTGGATTTTAGTGTGTACGATGACCCTGAGATCATTAACGATCTGTCCCTGGATCGTCTTAAAGCCTTCCCGGGCAAAGGTGAGATGTATGCATGGATGGGTGGATGGGTGGCTGCTGGATGGTGGTCGGGGCGCGGGGGCTGCTGGTCCGTGTGTAGTGGCGGCGGTAGTACGGCAGCACTTGGATGAGACTTCATAAGGCCCATCCGACCCCGTTCCAGCAGTTGGCGCTTTTAAGACGCCGGCAGTTAAACCCTAACTAAGATTGATGTGCCTGCTGTGTTTGACAACTTCCCTTCTATGCAGAAAAGTGCAACATTTCTCTAAGACCTTGACATGGGCGCTTCTCTGTGTGTGTGTGTGTGTGTGTGTGTGTGTGTGTGTGTGTGGAGGGGGGCAGTTTTTCTAAAACCCTCCCACATTCCCGTTCCACATCATTCCCACAATCCGACGCCTTTCAAATATGAAACCCTTGTTACACACGCACCATTCGTACACACGTTACATTTATGTGTGTGTGTGTTTCGCCGTCTCCCCTCGCCCGCGCCATCTAACCCCCCACCCATCCCGCATGACTTAAACATTGAAGACATATCACCCGGCCGGCTGAGGAGACTGGTCATTCCGTTGCGGGATGCGGCCAACCGACCGGTGGGTCCATCGTCATTGGCGGCTCCCGTGCCGCTGCTTACAGACGAGAACGCGTACGGCAATTTTTTCGAGTTCCCGGCCATCAACCCACGGTGAGGTCTTGAAAGGGTGAGGTAGCGGATTTGCACAACGTCATTTCCGTACGATAGTTGTACACCTGTACGACGGGTCCCTGTACAGGTGTCGTACTGATTCTGGTGTCTGGGGGGTTGCAGGAAAACAGATGGAAGGAGTAGAAGGCGGAAGGACGGGGAGATGGACCTGTCTGCCCGTAACTTTATGTGAACGGTTTTATGTGACAGCTTAAAAACTAACGTGATAAGGCGCATTACATGTGACGGCGTTATATTTTTGGTGTATTATTGTGTAGGCTGTGGAGTCCCCCTTGGTGTTCATCAAGTCATGAGTCTGTCGCCCTTCATTCATTCATTCATTCATTCCTCTTGCTGCCTTTTTGCCTTTGACTCTGCAGATTCCGGGGGAAGCCGTACAGGTACATGTACGGCACCGCTGCCATACGACCGACCAATATGGGCAACGCGCTGGCTCGTCACGACCGGAAAAAGGGAGCAGTATTGTGTGTTCCATACCGGG